ACCACGTATATTTGATAATGAGGTAGAACTTGATCTGATATCCTTTTTCAAAATAAGTAACAGGGGGTTTACAAGCTCTGTCTTGCCAAATTTTTAGAGGTTTGTAAGCCTTTGCTCTGATGCTAACTGATGTGGAACCTGAGAGCCACTTAATGCTACATCACTTTGAATGCCATCACTTTAGTTGGGCTTCTTGTCCTAAAATTACTACATGTACATCTGAGTAACATTTCTGTGTCTCTTTCAGCATGGTGTCAGACTTTTTCTACCCCAATGTGGGTGGTGTAGAGGAACATATTTTCCAGTTATCACAATGTCTTCTTGGACGCGGCCATAAGGTCATTGTCCTTACCCATGTGTATGGCAACCGGAGGGGAGTCAGACACATGACTAATGGTCTCAAGGCAAGTGGGATTTTTTATAAAGAATTCTGTGTTGTTGATCATAACACATTTTTCAAAGTTTCATTATCTTTTTTATATAAAGTGGTTGATACTTTTTATAAAAGGCTTTTTTTTTCGAGAGAGAATTACATAAATTTAGGCTTATACTTTTTCTGATTTTATAACAAGGAAAATATATGAAATTCTGATCTCATTTTAGGTGTACTACTTACCCATTCAGCCATTCTACAGTCAGTCAGTGCTTCCGACCTTCATCACAAGCATTCCACTTTTACGAAATATATTTGTACGTGAGAGGGTTACTATTGTTCATGGACATTCAGCCTTTTCAACAATGGCACATGAAGCCATGAATTTAGCAAGAGCAATGGGACTCAAGGTATATGTATATATTTTTTGTCTGTCTGTCAGTTTGTTTTCTTTTTTCTTTCTTTCTTTCTTTCTTTCTTTCTTTTTCTTGCCATTCCTTTTGCTTGGTAAGGGTTGAATTCTAAATATATAAAAGTTGCTACTGAAGATATATTATAGAAGTATATGATTTATGGTATATATCATTAATTTATTGTTATTATTAATCATCTTCATCATCATCATCATCATCACCACCAGTACAGTTATTATAATTTTTTTCAGAGTGTGTTTACAGATCATTCACTCTTTGGTTTTGCTGACATGTCTGCAATAGTGACAAATAACTTCCTGGCCATATCTTTAGCCGATGTTAATCACTGCATATGCGTTTCGTATGTTGGGTGAGTGGCTGTCTTTATTATCATATAATTGCCATTTACTGAGATGCTAACCCTTTATTTGGACTACATTCATAGCATGCAAAGTAATTGTTTATCTGATAAATAGTGAAGACAGATAATTCATTTCAGGAAAGAGAATACAGTCCTGAGGGCTAATGTAGACCAAGAAAAAGTTTCGGTCATTCCCAATGCCCTCGACACCCAGGTTTTCATGCCAGATCCAGACCAGAGACCCAAAGATAAAAGCAAGTATCTTTTCTTCTTTTTTTCTTGATCTCTCACTTTCTTTATCCCTCTGTTCTTACTTTGTCAGTCTTTCTAACCATCAGGTATTCTCAGATACAATCTGGGTATTAATGAATCTATTTTGTTTTGGAAAATCAAAAGTAGAACTTCAATATTGTTTTCAGTTAATGTGGTTGTGATGAGTCGTCTTCAGTACAGAAAAGGAGTGGATCTGCAGCCAGAAATAATAAGACGTATATGTTCCCGGTATCCGCAGGTAAAAGAAAAATGGTTTATCTTAGATTCTTATGTTTGTTTAATGACAATATATTTCACTTTGCTGTATAATTTCTCTGAAGAATGTCTTATTTATACAATGCATATTGCTATGGGGCATTATTGATTAAAGTATGCTGAGTATGATATGTGTTAATTTTTCTCTTATTTTTTCCCCCTCTCTCTCTCTCTGTCATGTTCTGTTTGTGTATGTCTGTGAATACTTATTTGTAGTTTAAATTTTATTTTTACAAAATAGGAAAGACATTTACAAGAATTATTTTTGTAAAGACCAAACTTCCGATCCCTTAGGTGAACTTTATCATTGGTGGGGACGGGCCAAAGCGAAGTATACTGGAGGAAGTGCGAGACGAAGTTGGTAGTGACCGCCTGGAACTCCTTGGTGCCGTACCCCATGCCAATGTCCACGGAGTCCTCGTAAAGGGACACATATTCCTGAACACTTCCTTGACCGAGGCCTTTTGCATAGCCATCTGTGAGGCCGTGTGCTCAGGGTGTGAAGAGTAGATCTCTCCTCTTTTTCTAGAGTCATTAAAGAAAGTACAATAACAATTATGACAGCCTTTAATACTCAAATACTTATCTTATTCTCATATATTCACCCTCACACCCTTAAAGATAAAAAGACTAACAACTACAAATATCTCTAGGTTGCAGGTAGTGAGCACGAACGTCGGGGGAATTCCCGAAGTTCTCCCGTCCCACCTCATTCTCCTTGCTCACCCTAATGTGGACAGTAAGTCATTTTAGTTGACGCTTTTTAGATAAGTTGGAAAAATGTTGAGGATCTAATGGCATTAAGTTTAAATTAGACATTCCTTCTTGCAACTTCTTTATATTTTGATCAGTTGGTATCAAGATGAAATGTTTTACTATACCAAGACATTGACTTCAGGAATGCCAATTTTTTATGCTTCTCAGTATCTTTTGATGGCCCAGAAAATATGTTGTTTCAAATAGATGTCTTAGATGTAGAATTTGCTTTAGAATCAATAAGAAAAAATTAAATGTCAATTTTTTTAAAGCGGCTTCTCAAAATCAGATCAGATAGGTTACAAAAAAAAATGCCTGAGAATTTGTTATTTTATGTGTGATAGTAGTTATTGTTTGTTTTGAATAATAATAAACCTGTGAAGTTAATAATTGTTATTTAGTATTTGCTATATTAGTAATTGTTCATATTGTCCCAGATTTTAGGGTCATGTCGATTAATGCATATGTTGATTAACATCATACTTAATTTAGCTACTATGTTTATATTTTTTATGTTGATAAGAAATTGAATTCATTAGAAACAACTCAAAATCTTACTTCTTGCAGGTTTAACTCAGATTTTAGACGTAGCCATTCAAAGAGAAATAACCAGGAGAAGAATTGACCCGTGGGCAATGCACAGGGAAATGCGCAACTTGTACACATGGCCAGACGTAGCAAGAAGAACAGAAATTGTTTATGATAAAGTTAGGGGCGAGGAGTCCAGCGCTGATATATATCAACGTATACCAAGGTGATGCATTATATTCTTTAAAGAGTTCATGTAGCTAAGATTTTTGTTTTTGAGTATCATAGAGTTTGTTTATTTAGGACAGATTCCTCTTTGTTTCTGCACTGATAAAAAACAGTTTAAAAATTAAATATGAATGTATATAGATCAGTGAGAAAGTGTGTATGTGATAATTCCTTTGAAATAGGGTAATAAATGCCAATTTAACTCATTGATTTTATAAAGTGGAACACATAATAACATTCTTTCCAAACAGGTATAAAAAATGTGGGTTACTGGCTGGTTGGTTTATGATGTTCCTAGTTACTCTGCAATTCCTGCTTTTGAAGATCTGTGATAGAATCTGGCCTATTGAGGTTTGTGTCTGTGATTTTACATTTTATACTCACCCATTCATACCATACATTCATTCATTCATTATCTCATATTTTGCCCTCCTTTAAGGGTTAGAAATCATTACTCATAATCATAATTGTAGGAATACTCATAATCCCTACAAGATAAGAGTAGGGTTTTATGGTTTATTCCAGGAAATCAAATTTGTATATAGTCAGGTTTGTGCTACCACTATACCAACAGCGTAGTGTAGTTTTACGATTCAGCGGTCTCTTTAATTTTGCAGGACATTGATATTGCACCTGACTATCCCGAGGGCAATGCAGAGTGGTCCTACGGGGAAGTAGACTTAAACTCGAGAAGACATAGAAACTCCATTCTTGTCAACGGAGCTCCGAGAATCTCAAGACTGTTAGATCGACCCAGCTGCAAGATGAATAATTCCGTTAGCTAAAGGAAGTGACTTCCGTGTTTTTTTCCTTTTGAACGAGGGGTGGATTTTGCGTGTTGTGTGTATATATATAAGCATGTCACTGATGTAAATTTGATGCAGATGTTGTGTATTTTATATAAATTTTATTAAAATAAAGATATGAAATGAAAAATGGTGTTTTCTTAATCTTTTACAAGTTTTTGAGTTAGATATCATTCAATGATATGTTTTGAAAAATACCCAGTCATTGTGGATGATTCTTTTTTTTCATCAGCAACAACAAACCTAAAAATTAAAAGTTATGTATATTTCCTTAATTTCCAATATTTACAGTCCTCATAACATCCTATGCTAAGAAAATCTCAAAAACTATTTTCTCAGAATTTACATTTTCCAAAATATTAATGGATGACAACTGCAAAAATGTGATGTGTTCATATCCTACTGTATTGGCTTGAAGATTATCAGCTATCCAAAGTTTGTCATTTTAATCACTATTTTTATTTTACACATATCAAAGGTCTTCACTTAAATTTCCAAACCCTGAAATATGTTAATAAAAGAATCTTCATTTTTTTTTTTTTTTTATTGCAGTGTTTATGAATATCTGAAGTACATGTGCTTAGCCATGATATTAATAATATTCTCCATCTTAAGGAAACTATTTCATAATTCTGATACAATAAACATGTTTTAATTAATTGAAATAAATCTAATTTCGAACACACATGCATGCACGAGCGCACACACACACATACAAAACAAAACAAAAACAAAACCACAAAAACAACCAACCAACCAAACAAATAAAAACCAAAAAAGCAAACAACCCCCTCCCCCCTCACCTCCAGCACAGATACAAAAAAAAAACGTAAAAAATCCTGTAGTTCAAGTGGACGTTGATTCGAATCCATCGCTTCGGACTTGGTGTCGAGACATCGCCTGGCGTGTCGAACTTGCTGGTTTGAAGAGGTGTTCCAGGATGACCGATTCTTTGAGTGCGGTGAGTCTGTTGTGGGTTGTGGGGAAATGAGTGGGTTGTGGGAGGGAGTAGGGTGGGTTGTAGGAGGGAGTGGGTTGGGGGAAGGGGAGGGAGTGGGTTATGGGAGGGAGTAGGGTGGGTTGTGGGAAGGAGTGGGATTGGGTGGGAGAGGGAGTGAGAGTGGGTAATGGGAGGGAGTGGGGTGGGTTGTGGGAAGGGGAAGGAGTGGGTTGTGGGAGTGGGAGAGGGGGAGGGAGTGGGGTGGGTTGTAGGAGGGTTGTGGAGTAAGGTATGAGATGGGTTATGAGGTTTGGAAGTTGTATGGAAGAGGGGAGTGGGATTGGGAGGGGACAGAGGGAGGAAAGAAGTGGGTAGAAGAGATTTGGGGAGGGAAGGAAAGAGAGAGGGGGGAGGGGGAGAGAAAGAGATCATAGATATACAAATGCGTATATATCATATTTGCATGTGCGCTTACACACACACACACACACACACACACACACACACACACACACTTGTATTACTTTTAGGCTCGTTTGTCTCTGTGTTTATTGACATACACTTTTTTTTATTATTCATCATTCGTTTGAAACTTTCGAAATTCCCCAGTCCATCTTAAACTTCGAAATTCTACCTTCATTAAAATTCCGAAATTACCTATTTATTTAACACGTTCAAAATGTATCGTTAATCTAATAAAACCCAAATTCTACTTTCATCTGACATTCCAAAATTCATCAGTCATCTTAAATATCCAAAATCAAACGCATGTAAAAGTTTCCAAATTCTCAGTTAACCTAATGGTCAACATTCGTAATTCAGTGGAAAATAATTAAAATAATAAAAACCAACTTACAAGTTCCTAATGCCTTAAAAACCTTCAAAATTCTTCAAACGCTTAAAACTTCCAAAATTCCCCCGCTCAAGAAAATAAGAACTGATAGAAATAGAATAAAAAATAAAGAAAGAAAGAAAAATAAAACTAAGGAGAAAAAAACAGATTTAAAAAGGGAGAGAAACTTAAAAATAAAATAAAATAAAGAGCCGTTGTACTTATTATATAGAGCCGGAAAGTTATATCGTTATGATGCTGTTAATGAGGTTAGCACGGTTAGTCCACGCGTTTTTTTCTTTGTATTTTCTATGTATTCTTATCTCTGTTCCTGTCTCATTAATGTTACTGTATCTCCAGTAATGATAAAGATAATAATTATGATCATAACAATGATACTAACGATGATAATAATGGCATTAATGATAATGAAAATGATAACAGTAATAACAATAAAGATGGCAGTACCAACGATATCAAAATTAATGGTCAAAATAACAATAACTGACGATCCAAACAACAACACTTTGGGAGCCACCGCCGACGGGGGCACATGGCCGCATCCACCCTTCGTTTCACCTACGAGGGTCAGGCAAGCGCTCGGCCCATCTCTAGCTCTTCACGACAGGTTTGGTCGATCTGTCCAAGCCACGACTTCCTAGGTCGTCCCACAGGCCTCCTCCACTCACGGTTGTCTCGAACAGAGTCAACCTGTGAGCAGGATCATCCTGTGGGAAACTAGCCGAGTGGCCGTATAGCCTGAGTTGGCGATCGCGGATTGTGCAAGTAACAGTTTCTGTACCAATTCACGTTTAACCATTGGTTGGACACATGGTCCCGCCAACTGTACAACATGATCCGGCATCAAGACGAGATTCCAAGGTACAAAATAGCGTCTAGGTTTCACTAATGTACAGTAAAACTAGCAGTATCAGGGCCTTGAAGACACATAGCTTGGTCCTTTTCACGGGAACCAGCATTTCCAAATTCTCTTGTCGACCCCTGCTGTCAGGCCAATCCGTCTGTTGACTTCATTGCTATGTGGACCAAGAACCAGCACTAGGGTTTCCAGAGACTCAAATAGAATAGCAATATCGTCAGCAAAGTCAGCAGTTACTCCACAGTGACTTTGGACAGTAGCTCTACCCAGTAAATAGTCTATGCGAGTGTTGAAAAGTGTTGGTGCAAGAACGCAGCCTTGATTCACTCCTGAACTAACAGGGAAGAAGCTCGACGGGACCCCACCACACTTTGCAGCACTTTCAGTACCAGTTTATAGGGTTGCTATTAATCCAATATTCCTTGTTGGAATTCCTCTCAGGATCTCCCAGAGTGATTCGCGATGCACCATATCGAACACCTTCTTGAGATCGATGTAGGCTGCAAGCAGCCCACGCCCGAACTCACGTTGGCGCTCTACAGTGACTCAAAGCGCCAGGATACAGTCTATTGTGGATATACCAGGAGTGAATCCACATTGCTCTGGCCTCTGGTACCTCAGCAGGTGGTCTCTGATACGTCTCAGAAGGTGTGAGCGAGAACCTTGCCCGGTATACTGAGCAGTATAATGCCTCGCTGATTTCTGCAGTCCCACCGAACCCCTTTCCCCTTCCAGAGAGGGATGGCCACACCTCTCAGCAGGTCAGGGGGAATGGTACCAGTCTGCCAGATGGCAGGCAGGGCATCATGCAAGCCCCTCGCCATAAGTTCTCCACCAGCCTTTAAGAGTTCAGCTGGGATGCCATCGCTCGACATGATGCGAAATGTAGTTTAGCCTACACTGTAAACAAAACGTCCAGTCTATGTGCAGGGCATGCAGGGTGCACTGCATGCTTCCAGTGTGACTGGTCTTATTAATTAGATATCAGTGTGTCAGGGTCCTGATCCTGTAAAATGTCATCATGCCATGCAAGCTATGGCCATGAACATGATTTAACCCATTCACGCCGGGTATCACGTATATGTGATACTGTGAGTTTACTTGTTTAATTGTTTTCACACATAGAGGGCAGCACTTGTACTTGTACTGCCTGTCTCGCCTGTTTACCCTTTATTTTAATTTACGAAAATATTATACGTTTTCTTATTTTGCTGTTTCTAATGTTCATAACATTACAGTAATTATAATGTTTATAATAAAAATAACCATCGATATTCATAGTACTAGTAAAATATACATTTTCCCGCCAAATGAAATCAGGTAAGGCAGAGCCATCTAGTGTTGAGAAATTTCACAAAAAGTATAAAAAATGAGCACAGCATTTTCCCCCATTTTTTGTTCATTTTTACCCGGCGCGAATGGGTTAATTAATACAGCTGGGGTTAGTGGAGGTGATTGGCGATTCCTTTGCAGGTTTTCGAAGTCGATCGCACTGAAGAAAATGGGGCCTAATCCAATAGGCCTGTGATCTGGCTGGCCTGGCCTTAAATGTTAGCAAATTCCTATGTTAAAATACATCTTAACTGTGGTTTTGATTTTTACAGGTGCAAGTGTGACAGCTGTCACGTGAAACTCCAGAGGAAAACATGTGTTGCACAGAAAAGATGCCAATACAGGAAAAAAATTGATGAGTACAACGACAATTTTGGGGGAAACATTAAGTGCATTACAGAACATCCAGGTTTCATGTCTAACTGTCTGGATGTCTGGGTTCTGCAGAATGTTTATGATCATTTCAAAGTGCAACACAAACACAGATTTGAGTGTGTTAAATTAAATAATTAAATATGTTTTTTTACAGATACACTATTAACAATATGGATCTTTATCCATATTTGGTGGATAATAGGACATTTGCATACAAAATATCACACGGAAATATAACACAAAAGGTTCTCATCCATGCATTCACGGTGATGACAAAGAAAATGAACACAACTCATGACGTCATTCCTGGGTTGGTGGCGCTACTGGTAATGTTTGAGTTAAAAGCTGTAGCAGACGACGTTTCGGGCCCAGAATTTGTTCATTCAAAAGTCTATAAATATAAGACGCGTTTTTTGTATTCATTTTTTAAAATCTTATGCATATTTGCAGGTACAAGAACAAATTCCGAGATGAATATCATACATTTAATTCACATAGTGGTAACTCTTTAAAACACAAACACAACACGCCCCATGTATTATTTTTTTCTCAGTAATAATATCGAGAATGTTGACCATAGATCCATATATGGTATAATTAGGGTAGAAACCGCCAAACGAAAGGTGCGGGTACCATTTTAACAGGGAAGAGGGAGGGTAATGATAATGCCTATTTAAAAAAAGAAAAAAAAAACTTTATTAGTTATTTGTATTAGTATCAATCGTGTGTCATTTGGGTCTTCTATTTTGTTTATTTTACTTTT